GGAGCTTACGTTACTCACATTTCCTGTTCAAATCTTCCTCTAAATGGGCGTAGCCTGGAGGACTAAAGGGGGCGTGAACGAGACTGGGCCGTTTACATTGCTCTGGGCGGGGGGCTGCTGACGTCAGGTCCAACTTGCAGACGTCAGGTCCAACTTCTGTGCCAGTGTTGGCGCCAGATTCAAAATTCAAATGTAGTAATACAGGTCGCCAGCAGATGGCGCCTCACAGACGGTTTTAGGCAGAAAGTCTAACTTTCAACTAATTTGCACCAAAGTGACAAGATTATGACCAGGATATGTAGACAACACTATTGGACACTCATTTATACCGTTTATCAGCAAAAAAAAGTGGATTTGAGGGTGAGTTGTCCTTTAAACTTCAGCCTAACCCTTTCGGTCTGTATATAATTTATAATTTGTGAATGTCAAATGTTTTCTTATTTTCTGCTGATGGCCGAAGAATAAACAAATATATATATAAAACTCAGTCAGAATGTGCTAAAATTAAAATACATTGTGTCAAATTTTAGCAATTTTTGACTTATTTCAGAACACTTTTCGCAGTGCAGATTAAGATTCAGATGAAAAGATTTGTCCCACAGTGGTGAAATTTCAGTGTTGCATCACTAGTCACAGAAAAGATAGAAATAAATCAACAGTAAATCTGTACTAAAATATAATAAAGCTTGAGCATAATAAAGAAGAAAGTCTAAAATCTCTAACTTTATTATGCTTAAGCCAGAGATTTTAGACTAGCTTCTTTATTATGCTAAAGAAGCTAATATAAAATCTCTAGCTTTAGCATAATAAAGAAGCTAGTATAAAATCCAAGCCCTGGCGATTCAAGATGGCGCCGTATTCAAATGAATGGTTGTGCTCAGTGGCGCTTTGTGACAGCATGGGGGCTGAAAGATTAGCGGAAGTTGCCTGGAACTTGCAAAGATCTATGGGAAACTCGCAAAGATCTATGGGAAACTCGCCTGTATTTGGGCATCGTCTGGTCCTCCCGGTTCTGCGCAGTGGATGATCTCCCAAAATGCATTGCTCCAAACACGCGTGTGTGGGTCTCACACCGGGTCTCACGCACGTGCACAGAGGGGCTCGGCCGCGCTCTGACCAATCAGAGCAGTTCATCAGAGCGGGAGTTAGAGCGAGAGCCAGAGGAGCAGAGTTTGTGGCACTAAAGTGTGGATTTAAACAAAACCGAAGGATTTAAGAAGAAAAAAAGTTCAGGACAAAAAAAAATCCCCACAAAATCCGACCTTTATGAAAGCTGTAGGTTCTCTGTCAGCTGAGGTTGAGCTGTTTTAATTTGCATTGAGTTCTATGGGGAAAATGTCTGGGTAGCCCACGTTTAGTCTGGTTCAGTCTGCAGTACCGCGACAATCCCCCGAGCACATGAGTTATTCAGCTACAAGCTAGTAATACCCTATCCAGTTATTATAATAGATCCATGATTAAAATCTCTAACTTTAGCATAGTAAAGAAGCTAGTATAAAATCTCCAACTTTCGCATTATACAAAAGCTAGTCTAAAATCTATAGCTTTAGCTTAAAAAAGAAGCTAATATAAAATCTCTAGCGTTAGCATAATAAAGAAGCTAGTCCAAAATCTCTAACTTTTGCCTAATGAAGAAGAAAGAGTGAAGTAAATAACCCTGCCCTCCACCACAGTTCCAAACTAAAGACTCTTCTGAGTGTTGTGATGTCACATGTTACTGTCAGCCCCACTTTCCACATCTGGGCTTATTATTACACATTCACACCATTCTTATTTCCGTCGCTGGTTTGAACGTTTTATCTGCTCCAGTGTAAGTGAAATCTGTCATAAAGTTATAAATACGAGGTGTCTATTCCCCAAAGGGAGCGCTTCATTTCGTTGTCTTCTGCCCACGCTGTTTTTTTTTTTTTCTTCCCCCTCCTGCTTTAGTTCAGATGTGTGCATGGAACTCTCTATATCCAAACAATTATCTCAGTGAGGTAATTAAAACACCCACTAACGTCTCGTCCCCGCGAGAGCCCGGCGAGATCCGAGCAGGAGATGCCGTGATAGTTTGATGGTAAAAATAATGATTAAAATGACAAGCGCGGTAAATATAGATCAAAATAGGACTTGCTTTTATGACTGCCGTGGAAATGTTTAGTTCAGAAGGATTTTTAAGTCAACGCAAACATGGAGTCAACTGTATTGTTTTGGTTGTGTGTGTTTCTGAAAGAAGAAATAGATAGATTGTGTAGCGGCTGTTTAAGATCGATACTTGTCAAGTCATCATTAAAGGGCCCTAATCTGTCAAAAGGTATTAATAAAACATGATCTTTTCCAATACTTCCTTAACTGATAACAGTTGTTCAGCCGAGATAATTGAATTTCAAAATTAGCGTTACAACCCCTAAATCTTTATTTCCATGTTCACTGTTTGACCAATCAGAAAGTCTGTGATCCAGGTTGCCAGAACTCACCGTGTTGAGCTAATCTCACTGGTAAAGTACCATGTGGCGCAGAACTAAAAATGGTCTTGTATGATTCTTAAATCATTAACGACAAAAGAAGGAATGAAACCAGGTTTTCTATCTTTGTGAAAAAGGTGTTGGTTATAGATTTGTTGTTGACAAAATTATGGTCCCAGCTGGATTTGTCTGCATATCTGGCAACCTAAGTCATGGAGAGTGCAGTACCACTTTTGGCCAGATTTGTTCATACTGCTCCTTTTAAATTTGGGAAAATGTGTCTTGAAGGTATAAAGGAGGATTTTCTACTTCATCAAGGTGGATCATCAAGACTATTGACCCTCCTAATTGTCAATCATTCTGGTGACATGTGCTCGTCCAATAAGACCAGAGAGTTTTGGTCAAAAAGTGGAGAGTGCGGATCTTTCCTAAAATTTGGAAAAATCCTTCTATTGTCCTTTAATTTGAGCACATTCTGACTGCTTTAAAACAAGATGTGCAAATGAGACAATGACAATGAGCTTGTTTTAAAAAGGTCTCCCTTGGAATGAGAAAATAAACAACAGTTCTTGAAATAACATAAGATAAGATAAACTTTATTGATCTCACACTGGAAAAATACACGTCTAAATGTCCTTGTCCCACAGTCAGAATGTGCTCGGATTAAGATAAAAAAAACACTCGATTCAAGCCTTTTTTAAGTAAGTAAGTAAGTAAGTAATCAAAGCGGTTTACAATTGTTATTTTTGGGCACTTGTCCTCTCACTCCACACAGAGATGGGAGCAGGGTCGCTGTCTCCTGTTTGATAATTTTTTTTGCAGTGTGTGGCTTTAGCTTGACTCATGTGTCCAGTGTAAACACGTACGATCAATGTCCAAACTTACAAGTATCGCTCTCAAAAGGTGTATTCCCAAACGTGAAAGTCAACTTGTTTAAGACTCAAGACACAAGGTCAAAACCCGGTTTGGCCTCCGTCCCACAGCTCTCACAAAATCCTCACCGGTGTCTCCATCACGCTCCACTACGCACACTGGGGCCAATTAGACTAAGGACAAAATGGCCTCTACAGATAGATAGATAGAAAGGCAAGTTTATTCGTATTTCGTAAGACAGAACTATCAAACAAATGAATAATCACGGTAGATAGATAGATACAAAGATACTTGAAAGATCCCCGCAGGAGAAATTCAGGTGTTCAAGCAAAACAAATGAATACATAACTCTAAAAGTAGCTAACAATAGTAATAAGGCCACAGCAGCAGAGGTGATGTATCCACCTGTGTTCAGCTTGTGAGGTCCTCTCTCAGTGGATAGGGTTCTCTCACAGACCCACGAGGTGAAGCTGGAGCTCTGGAAGGATCTGTTCTTATTGTCCCTTTGGTAAATGTGTCCCCTGTAGAGTAGAGTAGAGTAGAGTAGAGTAGAGTAGAGTAGAGTAGAGTAGAGTAGAGTAGAGTAGAGTAGAGTAGAGTAGAGTAGAGTAGAGTAGAGTAGAGTAGAGTAGAGTAGAGTAGAGTAGAGTAGAGTAGAGTAGAGGTTCTCTAATTCTAGTAGATTCAAAATTCAAGAACTTGTATGCCATTTGCAGTAAAACCACATTGGAAAAACTGTGCAAGACTGCCCCAGTATGGCCCAGGATAGATAGATAGAAGTAGTCTCTGGGTGGAGCAGGATCCACTTGGTTCGGACCATGAATCCTCTCCGCTCCGGTCTGGACCAGTGCAAAACCACAAATATATGTGGATAACACACACCAGAGCTCTTGTCCCGGTGCCATGTGATCGCCACATTCCCACCTCAGCACTTATTGGAATATTGTATTTAATCTCTTTTAATAGATTATCAGATCGTAATCCAAACAAAAGTACATATTTACACACACACACACACGTACACACACACACCTTTTTACCATTGCGTCTTTTTGCCACGATCTCACCACGGCTGCTTTTTCCTCTCGTCTCTTTTGCGTTCCCCCTCTGGCCTTGCTGTACATTACCTACACCTCTCATTTACCTGTGGGGCTGTTTGGCTTCTCAGACCCTCCGCTGTGCCATTCGTTGCCAGCAGGGGGCGGCGGCTTCCACTCTCCAATCAATTACAGTCATACAGCGTGATGACGGTGACGCCCCATTTTGACACATGACGGACAGGCTATACCTACACTAAAAATACACTCTTAAAGCTGCCTGACTTCCCCTATATACTCTCTCTCTCTCTCTTTCTTTCTCTTTCTCATCTTTCATCTTTGATTCGTATTTGGCTTTTTTCTCCTACATCCGCGTTGACAAAAGCGGCTTAAAAAAGACACCACAAAATGACATCCATTATTCATGAGGCTGCGCTACCCCCCAAGTCGTTTGAAGTCCACTTGGGATTTGAGCTACCTTCAAAATAGCGGGGAGAAAACCCACACTTCACGTTTTGAGCGATTTGTTTACATTGCTAAGTCTCCCTCTCCTGTGGGATTAAAAAAAGAAAAGAAAGAAAACTTGACAGAATGGAGATTGTGTTTTGATAATTTTTTTTATCTCCCTCTTTTCTGTTTTTAGATCACACGAATCGGGCTGATTGCGCATAAGACTTCCAAGCTGGAGTTTCAGTTGCTGGCGGGATCGGCCGGGTTCCTCATGGCAGCGTATGGCGTCGGTGAGAAACAGTATTTGTTTTTATCTCAGCGGGAAGAGGACAGAAGTCGGAGGGATGTCTTGTAAAAAAAAAAGAGTACACACACGTCCATAAAAGGAGAGTGGATCGTGTGTGTTTGTTTACATGGTTTAAGGGGTAAAAAGTACAAACAAGATGTGCGTATGTGTCGGGGGTCCCCTGTGGTTCTCGGCAACACAAAGGCCGTGGGGAGAACGCAGAGGGAGAGAAGTTAGGGAGACGAGCTTTAGTTGTTTGGTTGTGATCTGTGACAAATGTGTATCATTATGTATTTGTGATTTATTATTTATAATGTGTTCAGAACAAAAGCAGACACAGTTGGACCAAGCAGGCGCGTATTTGATTACTGTTACTCATTCAATGCAACACACACACACACACACACACACACACACACACACACACACACACACTACATACACACACACACACACACACACACTACATACACACACAGGCAATACATACACACACATACACATTTGATACAAACACATACACAGGGACCATACACGCACACCAACACTTATACACGTACACACAGACACAGACGATATACACACACACACCACACCCACGCAGACAATATACTCACAAACACACACACACACACACACACCTAATATTTTGGACCATTTTTACATCATCATAATATACAATACAAGATGTTGTATAAAATCAAAGGCCTCAAACATCATTTGTATTTGTAAGAATTCCACTTCAAAATGTACTGAATATGTTGCACGCACGCACACACACGCACACACACGCACACACACGTACACACACGCACACACACGCACGCACACACACGCACCTAAAATAACCCAAAATCCGTTCCAATATGATCTCATTTTGGAAAAAGGAGTGCAGTCGAAGTATAATACATATTTCTCTCACCACTTTCTTGCATAATTAGCAATTAAACTGTCCATAATTAGTAATTAAACTAAATTTGTTTGTAGGAAGTGACACACTGGTAAAGTGCTCCAAGTGTGATTTAAACACAAGAATACTTTGAAGTTGAATTGAGTTGAATTGAACTGTATTTTTATATCATTTCAAAGGATCCATTAGAATAAGTCTGCTCTGATGCACTAAGCAGAAAAACATTATTATTAAATAATTATTAAACATTACATTATTTAAACATTATGGAAAATCTTGGGATCGAGACAACAGCGATCAGTCACTGCTGCGCCCGAGCAGGAGACCTCCTGGTGCTGCTGAATCCGTCTGTGACTGTGATTTAAGGCGGGATAAAACTCCTGAATCAGTGTCAAAAACAGAAACTGTGCTTTCTTAACAACAGGGTTATTCTGGGACTTTATTTTCCTTTATTGGTCCCACAGCGGGGACATTTCAGTGTTGCATCACCAGTCACAGAGCAGTAGGACTGAGGTCACTTTATTTACTTGAAGCTTGGAACTGAAATCTACCTCTTTGGGGCGTCTCTATCTCTTGGTTGTTCCGCACTTTTACCATCAAACTGCTTCTCCACCATTTGGTAAAGGCCTATGATTTAAAAACTAGGGGTAAAAAAACCCCCCAAAAAACAATAATAACATTCTTAGTCATTTTCTACATCTTAGAAAATCGCAAAATGAAAAAAAAAACATTGCTTGCTTCAAGGAGCAAGTAGAGAATCTCTTAGAATGTGTGGAGTGAGTGACAAATGCCCAAGAAAAAAGCAAAAAAACAATTGTAAAACGCTTTGTGAGTCTGGTACGGCGCTTTATAATTATACATTACTCACTTACTTAGAATAAAATCTCTTACTTTGGCATAATAATAAGAACTAGCAACCGTTGTAACCGCACAGAAACATAAGTGTGAGGCAGATTTCCTCGAGGGGAGAATAAAGTATAGTGTATGTGACTTTCCCGCTGTGAGGAAGAAGAAGCTGGTGACTGGTGGCTCTGGGGGCGGCACAGTGAGTGGTTAGCAGCGCGGTGAGTGGTTAGAAGCACGGTGAGTGGTTAGCAGCATTAGCCCAAGTCTTGGTCCTTTAGTGTCTCTCTCTCTATCAAACATTCTGCTCATGTTGTGGCCCATAGACTGTTTATACTGTACGTGGACCAGGGTTTTCCAGTCTTTTTCAATTGGAAAGCTACTTTTATAAAACGGAAAAGGCAGAGAGCTACTCCTTTAGCAGTTGTAATGGAGTTGTAATCTAAAATAGCTACAGTCATGGAGGACACACAATATACCATTAATACAGTACAGTATCGCTGCATTAATGATTAGATTAGGACCTGCACTTGTAACGACCTATCAAACCAAACGTGTGTGTGTGTGTGTGCGTGTGACAGTGTGTGTGTGACAGTGTGTGCAGGAAGAGGGGGCTGTGTGTGTTTATTTGTTTGTGTGAGAGAGACGGTGTGTGTGGGAAGAGGGGGCTGTGTGTGGGGGCTGTGTGTGTGTGTGTGTGTGTGTGTGTGTGTGTGTGTGTGTGTGTGTGTGTGTGTGTGTGTGTGTGTGTGTGTGTGTGTGTGTGTGTGTGTGTGTGTGTGTGTGTGTGTGTGTGTGTGTGTGTGTGTGTGTGTGTGTGTGTGTGTGTGTGTGTGTGTGTGTGTGTGTGTGTGTGTGTGTGTGTGTGTGTGTGTGTGTGTGTGTGTAGGCTTGTCGCGATGTTCAATAAATCAATTAAACGCATGATAATTAAAATTAGCTAGAGAGCCGCAAAGCTGACTGAAATAACTCGAATAATGCGAGCAGACTGAAATAACTCCAAAATACAGCCAAAGCAGGACCTAAACCAGGACTAAACCAGGACTAATTGACAATGGGGACACAGTACTTGTGAACAAATGCCATTTGATAATAAAATAAACGTATGGCGCACCTCCGTGAACACATACTGCTGTTATATAAAGTCTGTGGAAGGTCTCTGAACACAGAGACACTGCAGAGCTGCATTATTGGCAACAAAACTTTACACAAAAAGCTGCTAACTTATCGCCGTTAGCATCAGAGTCCGCCACTTCCGGCGGTGGTCTTTAAAAAAAGAAAAAGGGTATTCCTCTTTGAAAAGGTGTATCTGCATCATTATCATTGTATTAGATGAAAGTGAACGACAATAATATCGCTTATCTCAATAATTTCTGATTTCCGATTAATCGTCCAGCAACATTTGTAATCGTGACAGGCCTACGTGTGTGTGTGTGAAATACAGCGTGTGCGGGAAGAGGGGGCTGTGTGTGTTTGTGTGTGTGTGTGTAGCCGTTGGATAATTTAATGAAAAATAATGACATGAAAATAAACTACATATAGAAACAGAAAAAGTTAGTGCCGTATGAACCAACTCTGAAGAGCACTGTCAGGACTAAACATGGGGAGGCAGCATTTTTCCAATTTTCGTCCTGAAAACATGAGACAGGCCTCATCTCTGATAATGTTTAAATCCAGGTTAAAAACAGGTCTGTTTAAAAGTGCTTCAACTGAGGGATTTTATCTTCACTCTCTTTAATGTACTGTGATTATTTATATTTTTCAGTTGTGTTTTGTTCAGCACTGTGTTTTTCGAGTTGCAGCTTCGAAGACACTTTTCTCTCAGTGATGAACCCAATGACACCAGTTTCTTTGCTTTCACTTGCACTTGTGAGAGGAGTTTCCAGGCAGTTTTTGAAGTTCTCAGTTTGACATTCGCCGCACGTTAGCTAAACCTACAGATTAGATAACACATTTGGGAATATTCATGGCCGTGGCGCTCAAACCTAATGAGTCATCTGTGCGTTCTGTGTGAGAGGAATCTTAAACCGGCTCCAAAGACGCCGTGGAGTGAGTGATATGGAAATGATCTGCTCAGAACTGACAGCGGAGAAAAAGAAAAAGCAGGTTTTTGATGTGTCCGAATTCAGCCTCGCGACGCCCACGCTGCCTCTGGAGGGGGCGGGGCAATGAGCTGTCTGTCAAACTGGACACATGTGAAGGGAGATGTATTGCTTTAGGAAAGAGATGGCAATTTGCGGAGACTTTGACAGCGATGAGTGTTTTGAAAAATATAGGATTTGACTAAAAAACATCACAGGAATATTGTCTTGGAAACGAAACATACTCAATTCAATGTGTTTTTCTACACACAGTTGACACAGTTGTCGATTTGCCAACAACAGATCAGAGAATCAAACCGTTCGAACACAGACGCCAGATGATATTTAAGTCACTTCCTAAATGTTAAATCAAACTGTAAGATTGTCGTCTTTTGTCAACAGTTAGTGAGTAAAAATATTACATTCTGTCCCTATTGACCAAGGCAGGCAAGGCACGTTTATTTGTATAGCACAATTCATACACAAGGCAACTCACAGTGCTGAACAAGACAAAATAGCATTAAAAGGATAAATAATCACAGTACATTAAAAAGAAAGATAAAGATATAAGACTTTAGCTGCATGAATCTGAAAAGCAGCCTCCCCATGTTTAGTTCTGACCCTGGGCACTAAGTCCAGTCCCTGAGGTCGTACTTCCTGGTTCTAGTCAGGACTCGAGCTGCTGCATTTTGAATGTACTGCAGCTGTTTTACAGCCTGTTTGGACAGACCTGTGAGCAGGCCATTGCAGTAGTCTAACCTACTGGAGACAAATGCATGGATAAGAATCTCCAAGTCTGCTTTAGACACTGTTTTTGATCCTGGCAATGTTTTTTAGATGGTAAAAAGCGATCGGTCTCAGGGGTTCGGCAGAGCCTCCGGCGACTGTTGAAAAACTCGAATAAAAACCTGTGATCTGCTTAAAGTGCAGTTCCTGTTGTTTTGAGATATAAACAAACTCGTATTCATTAAACCCTTGTTCTGCTGCAGTAGGAGGCTTTCTGTTATACTTATGTGAGAAGATGAAACGCTATGAATTTGAAACTACATTTGGAACGTTCTGCTCTTCAGAAGCTGCAATGATTATATTTTTCCTCTAGATGTCAGTGTTACAAACTAGTCTGAGCTAGTTCAGAGCCTGCGACACATTTGAAACAGTCTGGAAATGAGA